AAAGTTCTTAAACTTTTCATGCTTTGTGTAAGTAGATAACAAGAGATAAACATAACAACCAGATGTAGTACATTATGACTTTCATTGTTGACAATGGTTGTTCGACATGGTAATCATTGTCCAGTTGACTGATTTACCTATGAAATTAGTTGTTGTAATCATTCTTATGTAACACTGATGATCCATTTTAGAGGTTGATCAATTTTGAAAGTGTTAATTATCAATTAAACTATATCATGTCAAAATGAAATGTAACTGTTTTTCAATAATAAGGAGTAATCTGAAAAGGTATTTGTCTTGGAGTTAATCAGAAATAGAAAACCGCTTTGATACTCCTTAAGTTTGCATGTGAAATAATATGAAGTTGCTTTTGATAAGTGAACTCTTTTGGCATTATTAACTTTAGCCACTGATACTATAAACGAATGATAATGAGAAAGCAATGAGATGAGGAATAAAATATAATTTCTTGTGACATGTCTAACAACTTTGAAATCCATTTGTTTTCCCAATATAGGGCTTTTCATTGGTTGAGAAAGTTCATTGTTTGAAGCCCTGTTTGAAGTCAGGCAGCTTTGTTTTCGGCAAAAACATCGGCCTAAAATTGGAATAACACTTATAAAACCTTTCATCTTATTGTATAGTAATACTACATGAAAGCTGTGATAAATGATATTGATAGATTTTACGAAAGCACTTTACTTACTCCCTGATTGGCTCCGAAGTTTAATGATTGGTTCCGAACTTTATCCATTCATCAGTTTGGGCTTCCTGTGGTGTTACTGACGGACTTACTTACGCGGACTCGATAGCATAGTGGCTTCGCCTCTCTAGGAGGCAGTAGCCACAAAAAGAGCAAAAAGGCAATGGAAAAGTGAAGAAGAAATTCTGATCAGCCAGTGGTCCAAGTACGACTGTCTTTTCAATACAAGTTCGCATATTTCTTTACAATTATAAAAACCAAAAAATTGAAACAAAATTTTACTACGCATGCGTCATGGTTTCGACCGCTGCTACAATTGATTGCGTTTCATAAATCGCCGAGAACATCGCAGCACAACTAAAGAAAGAAATGCAGTAAAATCGCCGGGTGTTCACACGCGCGATTTTGCGTCGCCGTGAAAATCGCCGAAAAAATCGCACCTCAAATCGCCGCAAAAATCGCCCGTGTGAACGGGCCTTTAAAGTAAAGTAAACCTACATAATAACTTTACTAACCGCTGATCATTGGCGTCTTCAACGTCGCTTTCATTGACGGAATGAAGTACACATTTACCGCTATCAATGTTTACGATGACATCCAATTCAAAGTCCAAGTTCTGCTGTTGCAATACATCGGCTTTTTGGTTGACCCTGTTTTCATCATTCATATCGTTAGTACTCGTGCTGAAGGTCACTTTTGTGTAGCCCCCGGMAGCATCTTTGTTGTCTGGTGTACTTGCAAGCGGTGACATGTTGTCCTGGGCAGTGCGATTCTCCAATTCTACCAAATCTTGCTCGACTTTGCTTCGTCGATCGTCTTCCAAGTTGAAAGGTGGCACAACTGGAATATCAGTCTTGTTCAAAAAGTAATCTCTATCACGTTTCTGTGGGGTGAATGTTGCACTCATATCAACCATCTCGCTTACATCAAAATCTGACTCGTTGAAGTCTTCGACTATCTGCCTCCGTACCCTGGTGCGTGATCTTGACCCCTTAACACGCTCTGTCTTTGCCTTTCGATGAAGYGGAGGACTTGGTTGTGAAAGGGTATGACGCTGGCTACTTTGCCGGCTCCGGGAATGTCTACGTAGCTTCTTCCGAACATCTTTACGAAACTCGTTAAATACAGCATTCTCCAAGTCTTGTAAGATTTTGGTTTCTCTTTCTAGCTCCAAATGACTGACATAATTTCGTCTTCTGTTGAAAACACCCAGCATAAAGTAAGTACTACGTAAAGCAAGCTAACGATTAACGTAATGGATAGCTAATGGATTTCAAAAATCTTTAATAAAAATCGTTAATACTAAAAGAAAGCCATTTTTACCTGAGTTCGTTGACTCTTCGAGCTTGTTCCCACATTTCTCTCTCAATATTCCGTTTCCTTTGCTTGTGGCTTGTTGCTGCTTTGCTATCGACTTCATCTAAGTTACTAGGTTCTTCAAAAACGTCTTTTTCTGTTACTTCAGCAACAGAATCCATGTTTGCGATGTCTGTTCCCCCACCAAATGTAGTTAGAGTAGAGCCAAGCATTGAAAGTCGTTTGCCAATGTTCGTGTCGAAAAGGATCTCAACACCGCACATCTGCCAGCGAATGGACATCATCCACTTACCAGTCTTCACCATTTCTGGTGCTTCAAACAAATAGTTTTAAAGTTTATCATATTAAACTTAAAATAAACAATTACACAAGACAAAGCATAAAAGCAAAGGAATCATGGCTTTTTGTTTACCTGAAACAACTGGGTATCGATTCGTTCGAGAGCACAATTCGTAGGTGCCATGAGGTACCACACCTATTCACGTATTGAATAAAAATAGTAAATTAAAACAATTCAACAATCCTCTTCCTGGAAAAACGCATATCCGAGGTAAAGTTCTCAGGTCGATCAAGGTTTGATCCAGTATTATTTCTCAATTGACACGGTTTTCTTTGTTATTCACAARGCTTTATTTTTGTAATAACCCTCATTATAAATGCAAGGTCAATATATAGTTATTAACCCGGCAACATTTGATAAAAAACCTTCTCAATTGATAAATAAAATACTTAATTACCTCGAACGTCGGCAATAAGCCTATACAAGCCTATACATATAGGGCTATGTATAGGGTTTATTGCCTCCGTTCTCGGTAATTAACTCTTATATACATACTTTTAAAAACTGAAGGAAAACTGGGGGAGGGGAGGGGGTGAAAAATGTCAAACAGATAAAGAGTATGCATCCTTTAGAACTCCCCCCCCCCCCCCCAAAAAAAAGCTTTTCCCTCAATGCCTATTATAAAAATAAATTTAATAGATCTCGCGTTCGAAATGGATGGGAGCGCATGCATTATGAGAGCACTAAAACTAAAATAACGGTAACTCTAACACTTGTCCGCCCGCGTCGTGCTTTTAACATTTCTTTCACGTTCTACCAATCCCCGTGTGTTTTATAACTGCACACACCACGTGCGCGAATTTTTCTATTTCTTTAGTAATTGACATTGCTCACATTTGTTCATGAGGCGAGAGGTGAGGTCAGGTCTCCAGTCGGAAGCCTCCTTATCAAACTTGTCGGCAAACCAAAGACAAAATTTGTTGAATTTTCCTTTGCTGACAAAAGACGTGCTTGAACAACAAGACAGCATCATCTCCTCCACTGAGAGTACCAAAGCAGAAACTTGCTCGTGATCTGGAAATATTCAAGGATGCATTATTTAAATGGCATTCCCACAGTTGAAGGGGTCGCGGCCTCGAAACGTCTGGAAAGCAAGTTCAAATAATTCCAAGTAGTGACGTTTGCCCCCAGTGTTTCTTGACCTTACCTGATTGTTTAAAGTGAGTTCCTTGTGTTGTTGTTGTTTGATTTGGAGTCAGCAGTGGCACACAAATGCCAAGCCTATTGACAGTAAGCTGTAAAAACAACGAGCCAGACAACTGGGCTGCATGTGTTCTTGCAGGCAGTTTTTCCAGTAAGGCTTGGGTGGCCGTGTGCACCTAAAAAAAATTAGATTTATGGTAGGCTTTCTATGACTTTTCCATCATGTAGTTTAGATTTTATCGAACCCTCAAACAACCTCTGGGCTAACGGTCAGGGCAGGACTACCTCATAGATTGAACCCTGGAACAACCTCTGGGCTGATCTAAGTCAGGGAACGACTACCTCATAGAATTGGAATTCAGCTTGTTAGGTTTTGAAGAAAAGCCCTGGAATCAATGAAGACCTAGTTGTCCTATGTGTACATTGCTTTTTTAAACGATGTCACTAACAGTAATTACGTTAACAAACATGCGGCCATCACTTCTAGCTTTGTTCGTGGAAACGAGTAGAAGTAATACAAAAATACAGTTGCAGCATTGTAATGTAAAAGGTCCAAATGTTAGAGGAAGGTTATACCTCATCATTTAAAGCCATTCTCTGCTTATTCCAATGGTCATAGGCATTCTTGTAATTGAGGTAGACCAGTACAGCTGCAGGAAATAAATGGAACATTGGTCATCACTGTTCGTTAGTTAATCAGAGATATCAACAAACAATATGTACCTTTATCGAAGGCCATCTGTTGAGCAAAGACTTTGGGCTGCTCCAATGTGATCAAAAAGGTTTCCTTGTCTTCAGTGCCATACATACTGCTTACATCCTGTTTAATGAGTATTGATAGTATAGCATTGTTAACGTTATGTTATCCATGTACTAACAGCTTCAAGTAGCATAACATCTTTACCTGAAACGAATTCTTAACTCCAATAGTTGTCTTGAAATAAGCCATTTGTAGATAGTCCAGTTCATTGTCAATCATACGGCTCTGTGGATTTATTATGAATTGCGTTATGAGCAAATGCTTTGCTTATGAATAATGGATACCACACAGATTATATATGGCTTCGAAGGACCAGCCTGTGTGTGTGTTGAGGGAGGGGGCTGCAGAAATAAATGGACCGCGGCGTTTTGCACGATCAACAGTAATCTACCCTATTGAAAGACAATTGGTAAATCCATTGCACCTATTTGCAAGGGTAACAAACTATTACAGCAGAACYAAATTGAAAAGAGTTCTACTCTAATTTCATCGAGGAAAACAGCTGTGATCAAAGGAAATTGTTTAAGGCTGGTAAGAGTTTGCTTAATTGTAAACCGCCCAATGCTATTTCATCTAATGTTGATGAGAACAAATTTGCAGAAGATCTAGGAAAATTCTTTGTACAGAAGGTTGTGGATATACGGAATCGACTAAATAATAATCATACCAATAGTGGACATGAGATGTTGTCATCACCACACGAGCAAAAGTCAATTCAACATCTTAGTGAATTTGAGATACTTATGTCTATTATGAAAAAATCTTCTTTGAAGTCATGCCTATTGGATMCTATGCCATCTTGGCTGGTTAGTCAGTGTGATATTTTGTTGCCTATACTTACAGCATTGATCAACACATCTTTACAATCTAGAGGATTTCCAAATAAATGGAAGGAAGATTTGGTAGTACCTCTTCTGAAAAAACCTGGCCTTGATTGTGATTTCAAAAACTTTCGTCCAGTCAGTAACTTACCTTTTACCTCAAAGCTAACTGAAAGTGCGGTGTTTGAACAAATTCATAATCACATGAGCATTAATTATTTGTATTCATCCTGTCAGTCCGCATATAGGAAGCACTTTAGCACTGAAACGTCTTTATTGAGAGTCAAGAACGACATCCTATTAAACATGAATAAACAACACCTTACAATACTAATTCTATTGGACTTTAGCTCTGCTTTCGATACAGTCGACCATGATATCTTTATAAAACGGCTAAGCTCTGATTTTGCAATATCTGGAATGGTACTTGACTGGCAACGTTCTTATCTTAACGGACGATCTCAACGTATCTTAGTCAACACGACACTATCTAAGAGTTTTGAATTAGCTTCTGGAGTAGCACAGGCTCTTGTCTGGGGCCGTTGCTCTTTACTGTTTATGCTAGTATGCTATTTGATGTGGTCAAAGGTCACCTTCCATCTGTACGGATGATAAACAGCTGTATGTTTCATTTAGTCCCAATGATGAAACTGGTCAAGATGAAGCTCTTGGAGCTGTTCAAAGATGTATTGATGATGTCAGAGCATGGACGACTACTGATAAACTGCTTCTTAACGATGACAAAACTGAGTGTATTGTGATTGGCACTAAACAGCAACTGGCTAAAGTTCAACTCAACAGCATTACTATTGGCGATTCAGAAATAACACCTGCATCGCCTGTAAAGAACTTGGGGGTGTGGTTCGACTCTTCATTTTCAATGAACTCACACATTAACAAGACTTGCTCTACTGCATTCTACTATTTGTATAACATTAGGAAAATACGAAAATACTTGTCCAAGGAAACTACTCAAAAACTTGTCCATGCCTTTGTTACTAGCAGGATAGATTACTGCAATAGCCTGCTATGTGGACTCCCAGATTACCAACTGCACAAATTTCAAAGAGTGCAAAATGCTGCAGCCAGATTAATTCATAATGAATCTAAATATTGTAGGATAACACCGTTACTGTATAATTTGCATTGGCTGCCTGTTACCTTTCGTATAGAATTTAAGATGTTGTTTTAAATATACAAGGTTATTAATGGCTATGCTCCTAAATATTTAAGGGACCATATTAACATTAAAAAAGAGAGTAGATATAGTTAACGTTCAAATAGCAATGGAATATTACTTGAACATGTTAATCTTAAAACACATAAGACATTAGGAGATGGCGATCATTTATGGTAGCTGCACCTCATTTATGGAACAGGCTACCTTTGGAGGTCAGGACAGCTCCAAGTGTGACTAATTTTAAGAAATTATTGAAAACCTTTTTAGTTAAGATGGCTTTMGCAGATTTTTAGTTATCGTTTATATCGCTAATAATTTCATACTATTTTTTTAATCATACATTTTAATATTAGTATAGTTTTAGTATATATATATATATACACTTGATTGCAGAAAGGTTGTATACCAAGCCACCGTCACAAGAAAGGACAACAACACTACCGCAACATACATAGGACTCACAGAAAACGACTTCAAAACAAGATACAGAAACCACAGCGCCTCATTCCGCCACGAACAACATAAAAAATCTGGACTCTCAAGAACAGTAATATCAGCTACTCCATTTTATGGCGCGTCCTATCTTCAAGCTCCGCCTACAACAGCTCCAGCAAAAGATGTAACCTTTGTCTTAAAGAAAAGTTTCTAATAATCTATCGACCGGAACCCTCATTAAATAAGCGAAACGAACTTGTATCTTCATGCCGCCACAGAAACAAAGCATTACTACGCAACAGCTAAACTACATCCACTAATTAATTATGTATACTTTTTCTATATAAATGATAGTAACGAATATTCTTATCATTAAATCCCCTGAAGAGTGAAGCAATTCACGAAACAGGCTTGTCGGGAAAAATGTTGTCTTTTCTTCTCAAACAAATATATATATATATATACAGCCATTTGCAAAAATTATGGCTGCTTCCAATATATATACAAGTATACAAGTATATTTATACATTTATACAAATATCTAATGAGATGCATATTGTGTTTTACATCCTACAGATTATAAATCAATTGGTTTTGAGGGTTAAAAAAGTAAAATTGCAATATGCATCTAATTAGGTATTTGTATAAATGTATACTACAACGTTTCTGCAATCGAGTGTATATTACATTCATGTTACAGCGCAAATGAAAATACCCCAATTGAGATTTTCGCTATATAAATTCAATAAATTATTATTATTATTATTATCATTACCTTCATGAATTGTCCCAGAGAAAGGTTCACATCGACCTGGGCCTTTCCAAATAACTTGACAAAGCTGCCACCTTTATAAGGGTACAAATAGAGCATTAGTAAAAAATGCAGGAAAATACCTTAAAGTAATAAATAAACATTAATGTCCCCCTTCCCTTTTCCTTGGTGATATATTTGATACACTTAACAAGCAGTTCAAACACATTGCCTACTTCTTTTCAGTCTTCCTGGTTCCAGTGGTGAAGGAATGGCGTTGGACAACTCAAGAGATATTTCTCCTGTGTCTAAACGAACCGCCGTAGCAGCTGGGGTTGTCGCAGTCACTTGTATACCCTGTACATAGTACAAAAAGAATTATGATCATGATGAGTGTACTGACGGTGAAGACGATATCTTAAGATAGTTTCTGAACCATTACCTTAAGTGTGAGCCCAAAAGAATATAAGAAAGGTGCTTCCTTGTGTTTGGAAGAGTCCAAGCTTTCTGAAGATACAGTGCGCCACAGAGGAACAGGCTGACTTTCTCCTGACACACGCTGCACTACGTCATTCACTTCCTAGATTTCGCACATGAAAAGAATGAAACCGAGGATAATTTCAGCACAGAGGAGAAATGTCGTAATTTTGATTTGTACAAGCCAAGATTTGGTACAAGGCTTGATTGCTTGGCGCAATTATGGAAATAGTTATATAACGTCATACACAACGAGCAAGAGGCACATGACTTGTATGTTTCTGAGTAATTTTAGAGCTTTTTTTTTAAAAAAAAGATGATCTCTCTTGCTATAATTTGCAATATTAGTTTGTAAAGTCTCGTAAATTTCGTCCCCAAATTAACATAGTATCTTACCTTCATGAAACTCTTTTGTACAAACACCAAGTGGTTGAGTAGATCTGTAGTGAGACTGTGCTGGAAGGAACCTATTTCAGTACTGACATACAAGTGACCTCTTTTACCCCTCTGCTGAGTCGGCATACCATCTATACCATACTTTGGCTGACGATTGCGATTGGTCAGAAATTCCCCAGACACTTTCACTGGAGGTAAATCAACCAATGTGGAAGAAGGAACATTTGTTTCGAAAGTCTGTATCTGAATACGACAATAGTAGAAGAGAAAACTGAATATAATAGAGCGAGTTAATAACAAATGAAAAATAATAATTGAAACTTTTTGAGATGAAAAGAATGATATACACGGCGTTTTGTTTATAAACGAATGACATTGCTTAAGGATGTTACCTTTGATGAGAACGACAGCCTGTGTGACGGCATCGAAGCTTTGAACATTATGCTTGGGCCAGTGTGTGCAGTAGCAGAAATTCTTCCAATCTACAAGAAACCAACAGTCATCCTAGCATTAATGCGCCTCTTTAATCCTCTTTACAAAGGCAGTTTTTGGGGTGCAACCGCATGACTTAAAACCCTTTAAAATAACTTATATGCACCCTAAGAATATGAAAAAATATTATTTTATGGGACTTACAGCCATTGTGATAAGCATTAGTAATGTTATTGTTCACCTTGTAACCTGCACGTAGCGATGGCAACAGTGAAGCACCCAAAGAGAAACCTTTGAGAATAACATCAAACTTGATACGAGTGGCAGTTAGTTCAGTGCCATCAACACTGTCAATTGGAGAGAACATTTTAAATCCTGTGGGAGATCCAAGATGGTGCTTGACGAACTCTGCAGGTACACCAGATATCCTCTTACTTAAGCGTTGTGGGCTCATCTCGTGGCTACCCATTGACCTGTTCCCGGTGAATGACAGAAATATTTGTCAGCATATTGTACATAATTTGCTTATTGAAAATACGAAGCACTCTCGACAAAAAAGAAAAAAAAAATCTAAGTCGTGCTTCTATAGTAATGCATGGATACTTTGTGATTTGGTCTTGGTCATGATTATTTCTCTTTTTACGCCGAAAAGAATTTCAAGAAGCAAACTGAAAACAGTCATTTAGAACCTCAAAAGTTTCTATATTCAACTACAGTCACCTGATAACTGATCTCTGGGTTTGTATATCGGTGATATGCCTGGAGATGGTACGAGAGCTGCGTGTCATCATGGTATGCAGAGCCACTGGATGTTGTGGAATCTCTACATTAATCACACCGATTGTAATCAGAGCAAGGTTCTTTTCACGCTGGAATTCTGAGGCTGTCGTGTAGATGGCATTTGAACGCGAAAGGTGGCAGCTTACAACCATTCTAACAATTAAGATATATCAAAGATGATCAGAATTTGAACTGCTGCCTTAATACATCGATTGGCCCGTACATTTTACTTGGTGTACATGATGTAAAGGTCACCAAAAAGTTGGGACATGATTATCGTTGAATTGTCGTACAATTGTACTGAAACCCTCGGATAGTTTATCGACTTCATTTGACTTGATTCCTTGATCCTTATCCTATATTGTTTCACTCTTGTTTAAAATTTTTCAAGAAATCCTTGAGGAAGATGAATAAGTCAAATCGATAAACTTGCACGACAGTAATCCATTTTACATTTCCGTTCAGTGACCACGAATAATAGTTCCAAGCCGCGGCTAGAGTTGCCGCGCATGATAAACTATAGATTTGCTATGCGCGGAAACTCCAACCTCGACTTGTAGCTATTTTTCGTTGYAACTGAGCGTAACTGTAAAAATGGATTATTCAACAACATTGACTTAATGGTAACCGTAACACCTCGCACAATCTACGGGCCAAGTAGTGTAGGAAACCGCACRATCTCGAGTACTAATCTACTAATCTAAAGGCTCGTCCAATTTTGAAAACTTTCAAAACATCACTCGTACCTCAATCAATCAATCCTTTATTTGATAAAGCAGGTTAATATTACAGATATTGCAGATAACAATAAATGCATCGGCACCCAAAGGCTGATGTGGATCTGCAAAAATTTGATCTTCCCACACCGGGAATCCAACCCTGGCCACGGCGGTGAGAGCGCCGCATCCTAACCACTAGACCATATGGGAATCCTATAAATTCCGAATTGTGCTCGAGATCGTGCGATATTTTGTTTATGATGTTAAACTCAACAAAATTGAGAAAATTAAATGCGACTCTACAGAGTACAATTTGRGATTTCATTGTACTCCTCTTGTCCAATCACAACCGAGTAATTTTGTTGAGTGTATTATAGCGGAGCTCCCGCACGAGCGGAGCATCATACTTAAGAAAAAACGGTAAACCATCGCGTTGATTTTTCATGGCTTGGCTGACGTCACTTCCGTCCGTCCGTCCGTCCATCCGTGTACACAACACAGGAATCCCGCTTGATGTCAAAGCAAAACTACTCACAAATGCGGCTCTCAAATGCACAGAAAAAATCGCTTTAAGACAAGTTATAGACCAAGAACAATTTAAAAAAAACTTTCATGTAGTCAAAGATGGATCAAGAAGTGTTCTTCAAGAATTCAGGTGTGTGTTTTTTTAGCAACAATCGTATATATATATATTTTTTTGACAAGCATTTTTCTTGACGAATTGACAAATCAAAGACTTTCTCTCAAAACTTTTTATATTTCTATAGATAAGCTTGATTTTATTTTAATGCTGGAGGAAATATAACACGGAGAGCATATTACGACAACAAATATTCGTCCTTTATTTAGCTTTGTACTGATCTTTAACAATTCGGTTGTTTTTAACCAACTATCRTATTAATTTCGTTCAAAAAAATGCAGCTTTGTTCGCCTCCTATCGCGGGGTCTCATTGGCAAAACAAAGAAGACTTTCATTCAATAATTTTATTCATCATATAATTATCCATAAAATGCCTATATTTCTCCTTATCGAAAAATTGATATTTCACATGTGAAAATATCGTTACCATGTGTATTTAAGCAATTAGTTTATAAATAAGAACTTTTTATAATAATAAAAAGCTTATTAAGTTGATTTTATGATTAATTATATAATAAACAGAATATTACATGGGCGCTTGGAGATACGAAATTTATTTTCTCGTGTTGAAAATCTCTCACTCGTTCGCTGCGCCCACTCGTGAGAGATCTTTTCAACACTCGAAGATAAATTTCGTATCTCCGCGCGCCCATGTAATATTCTCTATATCTTTCTACAGATAATTTATTTAATTATTGAATTAAATATAAATTTACACTAAATATTCAACTGTTTATTAAGCTGTTCCAGCAAGTATGATTATAAAAATGAGCTTAAATTTGTGTTGTTGAGAGATGTTATCGTATAAAGATCTACTAGACTTTCACTTAAAAAAGCAAAAAAAATATTCAAAAACATTTACAAACGCCAATTTACTGACAAAGATATTCGTCATTGCATTGCCTTTTGCATTATTTTCTATTTTGTCTCGGTTGTTCTTGTCAAGTTTAAGTAAGCTTATTTTCTGCTCGCCTTAACCAGTTTTCAAGTCTGTTTTTTGGTCTTGATTTGTCCTAAATCTGCAGATTTTCGATTTCATTGAAAGACATCCGAAGTAAATTTCACTAAACGTGATATTGTAATGGATTATCTGTAGTTATCTTTCGTTTTTCTTTAAGTAAAAGAGATTCAAAGCCTGTCGGCATTTTGTCGAAGAAAATCTTCCAAGAACAAAACTAGCCCCTGAGGGTGGCGGTGAGTTGTGTAGAAAATTCCTAAGTGGGAGAGTATACTCGCAAAAAAAAAAAAAAAAAAAAAAAAAAAAAAAAAGAACAATGTACTGCATTTCGATTCGATTTCACTGCATGGTTTTTATTATGGGAGAAATTATCTTCATCTCGAATAAAAAAAAATTGAAGACTTTTTCCCCGATCTTATTTTTACCTTTCAGTTTCATTCGCTCCGCTTTTAGGCAGTGCCTAAATATACATATTAAATAACTGAATTAATAAAAACCAACAGTGCAATGCGGTGAATTAATAAAAACAAACGAACAATCAGAATGATTGGAAGGATGGATGGATGGATGGATGGATGGATGGATGGATGGATGGATGGATGGATGAAAATAATGAATGGGTGGGTTGCTGGATTTAACAGTCGCCAATGTTATTATCAGTTCCATTATCTCGATTTCTCATGATTTGGCCAATAATGGATAGACAATTAGTATATGTAATAGGACTCCATGTTGTCTAATTAAGAAATAATTGGACAAGGAAAATTGCGAGGACTGACAAAATTGGATGAGGCCGTAGGCCGAGTCCAATTTGGCAGTCAGAGGAATTTTTCGAGTCTAATTATTTCTTGATTGGGGAGCATGAAATCCCATTACCTATTAATTATATATCTGCCTAATTAATCCCATATCAACAAGACCTGTCCAATTAAGAAAATAATTGGACAGTTACCTATATGGGATTAATGAGAAGCTGTATAATTAACAAATAAAATACATTTGCTGTGTTTGCACACGCTAATGCAAACCGAGATGTGGTTGGGAGAATTCGAGAGCAGATCAGTGCAAACACGAGCCGTAGGCGAGCRTTTGCACCTGCTCGAGAATCGAGGTTTGCATTAGCCTGTGCAAACACAGTTAATGTATTTTATTTGTTTTATAAAATTATTTTCTTCAAAAACAAAAATAACGAAACACGATCAAATAAAACAGAAGAATTTAGTTCAAAGTTTTGAATACAAATTCTCCTTACATACTTGTGCATTTGCAATAACCAATCAGATTGCGCGAAAGAAGACCCTTAACCAATCAAATCGCGAGTTYGATACACGCCTCCAAGCATGAAATTCAAGTTGAAAATTTCTTATTTCAAAGCGAGAAGAAGCCAAACTCTAGCGACTTTCTCCCTTGAGAAAGAGGCTTTTACAAGCAAATCTTGATAARATAATAATTCCAAAGCTTAACCAATGGCTTTAGTCATTCTAGACCGAAAAGAAAACACTATCTAGAGAGCTAGAACTCGCTAAATTCAAGCTTGATTTCCGTCGGTGTTGTCGAAAGAGTTCGTCGAAATTATCCGAGTTCAGGCTGGCAAATCTGGATTTTTTCTTTTTTGTCGAAGGCTCTTCTGGTGGTTCTACTATTTCAGATGCTTCCTCAGGAAAGTCAAAGTCTAAGCTTGGAAACTTAGCCATATTCTACTAATTTTACTGGAGTTATGACTATTTGTGTACAAGTACAACTTTCAAACAAAACTCACATTTTCCCACGACACGCGTCACAACCGTGTTTGCACAGGGAAATGCAAACACGGCTCTCGGCCAATCACAGCACGCCTACTATCTGAATTATTTTATAACTACTTACCCAGTTTTACGCTTGACTCTCTCGAGTAGCACACTGTTGACACTTCCAACATGTCCAGATACTGACCCTGAACAGTGATCTTCAGGAAGAAAAACGATATCATGATCATAATCACGGCAACACAAAAACCGCTTTATCAGTCTACATTTGTTCATAAGCACACTTCAGCCTACCCAGATAGTTTCGGCAAGCACRGATACCTATAGTATATAGTGTCCCAACTATTATTGATTTGGAATGAATTTTGTATCTTAATGTTTTCGGACTGTAAACTAGCAACTGGGAAATCAATACAGATTTTAAAAAAAATCATACACCCCTAGCTAATTGCAAACCTGTTTCATTGTTATCTTTCTCTTCCTTTCTAGTAAGAACCAGACTGATATCTCTGATTTCTGTTTCTAGCAGTAAATCACCAATGGCTGCAAGTAGTCGTGCCCTTGGGAAGGTTACCACACCCAATACAATGTATGTGGGCACGACAACGAAGTTAGACTCCTGAACTTTAGATTCCCATGTTGATCGGCTTATGACTGACCGACGCTTGTCAAGTGGCAAATCAGGCCCATCCTCAATATCGATTTTCACTTCTTTTGGTTGATCTGGAGATGGGAGATCAACTAAAATAAAAGAAAGACTTTGATGAGAGATTTTGGTGAAGYGATTATCCTTCATGACCTCGATTATTACCGAGAAAAGGAATAAAAATTTGATCAATTGTTTTTGGTGTCGGCGTGAAAAAAACTACCCTTGGGTCCACAGGTTATTGATTYTTGGGTTTTGCGGTTTTGAAGGGAAATCGCAGGAGGAATGAGGGGAGAGTCGAAGGAGAAATAAATTTCGCTCCCTCGCGCCTTGGGCGCTCGTTCGTTACAACCACAGGAAGCGAAATGGAACCTCTGCAGCCCAAGAAAGAGAAGCATCACAAGTAACCAAAGGATAACACAGAGATACCAAGGGCTTTGAACGATAATCGAATTAGTTATTAAGTTCAGATATCAATAAGACTGAGTGTTCTACTTACTACGCACTGGCCTGGAGCCACTAGCTTTATYACAGTTCCCTTTAGATTTAGGTTCGCGTGGTAGAGAGGAGTACAAATCCAACACTTGGTACATTGTTTTCCAACACTTGACACTGCTCGGGGAAACTGACGGTCTATCGTTAGGACCGAATATGGTAGTGAATGCTGGAGCAGGACCGTCCTCGCTGTCACCAATTATGTCCTGATGCTAAAAATCAATTAGTAATGTATTGGTTAACGTTTGTTTAGAAGACCACAAGATAAAGACAAGGTCTGAAACTTTGACTTATGAACCTAGATGTCATATTCATCATATATTGTTCATAGTCTAGAGGGGTCTAATAAGAATTTTTTGGCTCTACGTAAGAATTATTCCATCACAACGCATCCAACTATTTTTTGAGAAACATAACGATCAATTTCCGCTGTGTTTACAGTAAACCGTTGTTCGTTATCCCGTGAATTACACGTGGCTTTGACTCTAAGCCGGCAGAGACGCAAAAAGACGCATTATTGACACCCCTTGCTCAAAGAAAACTTGGCGGCGGACGTACTTGGCGTCCTGACTACTGGCCTGCCTGTCTTTCTGTTTACATGTATGATAAGTTATATCAATAAGCTAAGCGTCTAATAGAACACCATACCTTAGACTTGATGAACCATGCAAGTAAGTCCACCATGTCCAGGAGCTGAATTGTAAGTCTTACGAAGGGAAGATTGATTTTTTGCGTAACGTTCCCAAAACTAACGTTAAACTTGATGTGTTTGACCATGGTATTGGCTAGCGATGGCACGTCAGTCGAAAAATCTTTTCCATTTGGTGAGTTGCTGAAGATTAGCCTGAAGGCGAAATCCTTGGCAAGAAAAATGGGGTCTTTCTCTGTAAGAAGCTACAAAAGAAAAGGAGTCCTAGGGTTTATGGCTATAGAACTATAATTACTATAGTAATACATAATACATCAGTAATACTRGTATCCCAAGTAATTATAGAACTACATTAAAAAAAGGTTGTCGGAACCAAAGACGATAAGTGATAAGCTGAAATGATAACTGATAGAGTTTCTTATTATTATTCTTGAAAAGAACACGAAGGTTGTTTTTGGGATATTCACTAAAGAGYCGATGTAACCAGTTCGAACACCTCGATCATCCTCAGTGAATATGGAGAATATTTACCTCGCCGCTCGAAGACTCGCGTCTCGGTAAATATTCCGATATTCACTTCACTTTCGGCGAATAATTGCTAAATATTCCAAGAACACGTACTTCTGACTTGAACTTCAATGTTTTCAAAATGACAAGTTATCTTATTGACATCTAAAATGAAGGAAGAATGAACTCGTTTACGAAAGAGGTTTTTACTGTTGGAATCAGTTGTGTACCAGTAAAAGGAAGAGGTTTTAAGAGAGCTGAAAACAGTCAAGCTGCTCGGAATATAAGAATTAAACATAAAGTTAGTTAAACATGTTATTTTAATTTCAACTTTTTTCTGATTTTGAAGACATGGGTAGCATCCGAGGAGTTCGCGGTATTTACATAGAATATTGAAAGTAGTGGTAGTGCGTGTGGAGGGAACCTCACGGAAGAGCCCCATATGGAGAGTGGTGGTTGTAAAATATTATTTTTTTCTCGTCGGAAACTAACCATTTTTCGCTCGCATTAAAGTCACTATAACTCTGACCAATCAGGAATCGCATGCTAAAATAGCTCAGGCTTGCGCGCGGAGCTAAAAATACATTTTCAAAAATTTTTCATGGTTAGAGACYCATGTATGGGAGATGTGCTCTCTCACTTCATATTCTCTTGCTTCGACGGAGGACGGAGGCCAGTACTAACCTCTTTAGCTCTCTTAGATTCACTACTACTGCGCTGTCTTGTTCCCTCTTCCTGGCTTTGCTTCTTTGACATATTGTTCACTTCGTTATCCACGAGATCCAAACGAATATATCTAGCAAAAATAAGTAATACGAGAAACATGAATTACTCAAATATATCTTGATTTATATAGTTTAAAATACAAATTTGATTATTAATTCTGTCCTGCTTACTTTAGACTAGTTTTTAATGAGATGGCATTGGCGGTATCCACGGACTCTGCTATTTTTGGCTTCAAGTTTATAGCCTGAAGTAGAGTTTTAAACGTCTCTTTCTCATCTTGGATTTTTTTCCCACTCGTTGGAACACTGACCATCTCTGTGAATAGCTTGTTGTCTTGCTCTGATTTATCTGGCGACACTAAACAGAAAACACGGGGTAAGTAGCCTATACGTATGTGCAGTCAAACTTTAACTTTAGTCGGGCAGGGTTAAGGACCTTAAATAAAACACGATTGATGAGTAACGCCACCACTGACTTGCATACCTTGAGTAGATTGACTTTGTAGTAGGTGACTAACCACACCTGGCTGCCGAGATGTATTTGGCGATGTCACAGGAGTGCTAGAGAGCCAGCTGTAAAGACTTATCTGTTTTCTGTGACCGTATTTCTGAGCTTTATTTTCAGCAAGAGATTTCGTTTGTTGACCTTTTCGCAAAGTAGTGTTTGGCGAGTCATCGGTGTCTGAATCGCTGTTTGGCTGAGCACCAGAAGAGGCGCGTAGCAGAGGGGTACGTTGGCTAGAAGTTAGGTGTGATGTCTGGACAGTTTCCAGTGGAAGGGTAAGTGAAGCCGCAGGTTTCGAAGGATGATTAACAGGAGAAGAAGAAGATTCCTTCAGAACTGTCAACGTTAAAAAGATTATTTTCACTTTTACTCTACTTAAGGTGACTGCCTACTTTTGGAAATTGATTTAAGCTTTTTCTAAAACTTCGATTTTCCGAATTGAAATTTAATGCTGATTCCAAATCTGGAAAGAAAATTAGGGTGTCCCGAACTCGTTTTCGAGATAATCAGCATTTAATGGAAGCCTACGCACGAGCTTTTGGAGTAAAAATTGCGCCACCGGAAGTGATTAGAAAAAAAATTAAGATTAATAAGATAATAGTTATTTGCAGACTATA